CCCCCCCCCCCCCCCAATACCCACATCGTTTTCGCCATAGATTCTTTTCCAATTCTTATGTATAGTTTCTAAATATATTTTATATACATCCGTGGCGTCAGAATTTGTGTCCATAAATCCTGTTGATAATTTAGTGCCTACTTCAACATAAAGTGGAATTTTCGTATGAGTTGTCTGTTATTTCAATAATTCATGACGTATGTGATAGTATTTTCATGGTTTTTAGTGGTACATCCTGTATTTAAGAGTCTATAATTTAAATGTTGGTGGTATCGACTTCTAATCCTGACAAAACGACCTGACAAGGCTTCTCACTGGTTTTTCCTCAGCACCTCCAGGTTAATTCCGATATGTTACAGCGAAACAGAGTGCTGTAGATTTTGATCCAGATACATTCATATTCGTAGACGAGGTGTTTTCAGTCAGTAGCCGAGCTAAAAAGGGAAATGTTTGCAACCATAGAGTTCAGAATCCTCTGTTTTCCGTCTTACCTGCTGTTTTATATGAATGTAAAACCTAATCTCTAGCACTGAGGGAATAATTCAGACTGAGAGTATTTGAGAACAGAGTCCTTGGTACAAAATTGGACCCAGGAGCGTTGAAGTGACGGGCCATAGCTTTTACTCATGAAACGTTATTAAGGTGATCAGATCAAGGAGAATTAGATTGGCTGGGGATACAGAGGGGAAAGGACCACTCGGAAGACCTGAATGATATTAAAATGGATCTTAGGGAAATCAGGTTTGGTGATGTGGATTTATCTGGCTCAGGGATATGGACTGGTGGTGGTCTCTTGTGAACAATGATAATACTTTCGGGGTTTTTTTTATAAAATGAGAGGAATTTCTTGATCATCGATTCTCGACTCAGAGGAATATATACGATTCACATAGGATTAATTAATTATGAGGACAAGTATCATGTTTTGTACTCGTCGTTAATGATTAAATTATGTTCTTTATTTAATCTGTAACCAATAAAAAAATTCATAAAGACGGGGACGTGTGGTGTTCACGTTCGATAACACCGAATGAGAAACACAGGGTTTTTTACTTACCAAAACGTCTGTGCAATATTGATTTGACATAATAAACTATAACTTCATCACAGGATTTTAAAATTCAACACGCACGGTCATTTTCTCGTTGAAATAACTTTCCAGTTGATACAGTGTGGTTAAATAGTGTAGTAATGAACCAGGGAACATTTAAATATAAATAAAAACGAATAAATTATGAGAATTTGTTATTAATAAGTTATGTATGTGTTTATGGTTTGGTAACTCGATTCAATTGCTTCCCTAAACCCAAGAAACAAAGTTATTCTTAAGACGCTAATATTCGCTCAGTTAGACAAGAATTATCCAGTCTTTTACGATACCCGAAGGTGTTAACAGGAGCCCTCGAGTAGTTTCTGTCCTGACCTGGATGAATCCATAACACTTCTTCATATCAGCTTACTTTTTAATCCTCTTTAATATTATCCTCCAATCTATGCTCAGGTATCTCGACTTCATTTCCTTTCGAAATTAGACTAGAAAAAAAATTAACAGTAGTTCACGTGTCAAAAGGACCCCAGGTACTTAAGGAGTGTCGACTCCCTGTTGTGAAGGAAGAATGGTATAATGGATTGCTCGTGAAAAGAATCTTTGTAGTGTAAGGAAACTGGTCCTGACGTTTCGGAATATATTTACGTGAACGAAATTCTTTTTTGAGTTTACCATCAGATGACTCCATGCTGTGATACCAAGAAACTGACTGAAATATTACAGATCTGATCGACGAGAGTGGTACTGGGATAATTTTCAATTGCTTCAAGTGAGAAGAAATGTACCCACAAGGCAGTGCGCGTGTACTGCGATACCTTATTGGTGTAACGCTCGTCGGCCATGTTATCTGCTCGTCAGATTTCACCTTTTCAACTGACGCTGACCTATACACGGTAAGATAAAATAACACTATTAATAACTATCTTAGCCAAAGCATCTGCCATAGATTACACTCAAAGAACTAATCGTAAAATTAACATTTCAGTTTTTATTTTGAGAGGGTTCCAGATATATTTGTCGTAACATACTCAGCTGTAAATGAATTTTCAAAAATTGGTGTTAACTAAATATTTTGTTATTTGATTACTAGTCAAGAATGACGGGAAAATATGCAGTTATAAATGTTATCCTATTATTATTTAGTGTTCTGTGTGACGACAGGTCCATATGAACAGGATCCTTCCATCCTTTTCTCGGACTGGGACCTGTTCATATACGTTCTTGGCAGATGATCCAGAAGTGGTTTGCCATTGCCTTCTTCTGTGTGTGAATGGAGTAATTGTTGGGATGCCACGGAGGAAAACTCCGTGTTGCCTAGACCACGGCCTTGCCCAACACAAGTTATAAATTCGGGCACCGCCGGGAATCGAACCCGAGACCCCCAGGATTACAAGGCCAGCGTTCTAACCGCTAGACCACCGTGGCTATTAATGTTATCCTATAAAACGAAAAATCCCTTTGCAGTGTATTATCACCAACTGTCATATTGATAGAATATATGAGATTTCAAATCACTTAAAAGCAAATGATTATCGACCAGCACATGTTGGTTGTATAGACAGACAATGAAACCAGAGGAAGGGAATGCATCATGATCAAGATGATGATACAGAATGAGAACCTTGACTTTAAGCAATAAAAGTATGTTAAATTTAATATTCTTTTTTGTATTTATGTGGGTGAGTGAAGTTTTATAAGGATTTCGATATGCACACGCAAAATTTTATCACCATCTGTTCATAAACATCGTTTCTGCTGCTGAAAGTCCAGTGTCTCCAACGAGACGACCGCTTTCTATATTAAACATCATGTATTTTCGTGTTTGTAAGTCTACGAATCCTGCAAGCCGCCAATTAGAATTACATTTTTATTATTAAAGTTATAAATTTAATGTCCGTGATCGTGAAGTTGGCAAGAATGTCCAAAGGACACGTAAATACCCGTTCCAAGATACGAACCCAGCATTTGCGTGGATACACTGAGGAGAATCACGAAAACATTAGCATAGCAGGTCTTAATTTCGAGATTCGAACTTTGGACTACCGATTACGAGAGACGCCCGTCTGTGGGTCACGTGAGAAATACGCACAGAATATTGGCTGGAAAACACGAAGGGAAGAGCTTAATCTTAGATACGATGATAATATTAAAACGGATCCTAGATAAATTGGACGGACGGGCTCTTGTGAAGACGGTAGTGAATTTTCGGGTTTTATAAAAGACGGGAAGGTTTTTTGACTATAAATTTAACCAAGTTTGTTTAAATAAAAGGTTTTTTGGATGTTATCCATCGTCTAATAAAATAATAAAATTGAACGACGTTGCGGAGATGGGACTCTATCTCCGTCTTCAGGTTCCTACACAGTTGGACCCACTAGATAGAGCTAATCCCTATGTCCGGAGATAGGGATTAGCTCTATCTAGTGGGCCCAACTGAGTAGGAACCTGAAGACGGAGATAGAGCCCCATCTCCGAAACGTCGTTTTACGTTTTTTACGTTTTATTACTAGACGATGGATAATATCCAAGTAAATTTTTATTCAATTGACTCTTCACTATCGTCAAGAAGTTTTAGATTTGTTTTTTGACTAGCTGAGTGACTGTTAGCTTGCTCTCAAAGCGTGTGAATGAGATAAAAAGAATGATCAATTCTAAACGATTCTGAAAATGGTATATTACAATAGTATTTAGTGGACTATTGGACTTTGTGCGTAGCCTCGTAGTCGTAGAAGAAAGCGACGTTTCGGAAGATGTATCTGTTTTCGCTCTTGCACACATGAGTTTGTTCGAAAGAGGAAATCTTCACTCGATGACAGAAACATCCTTTTTCCAAAACGAGAAGATGACCAAAGTCCATTTTTCCCCGATAATACCAGTCACAAAGAAAGACTGCCTTAACGGGACACAATAAGGTCATAGGTCATGACAGTATTGCGCCAAAATAGAAATGATTTATTAAAAGTCTATATTAGATTTGTTACAGTATTTTCGAAATTTATAAATTCATCTGCAAGTCTCCTCCTTTTTCAGATATCCCGAACAAACAATGCACAGGATTAACAACCTCATAGTTAATTTATGTGTCTGACTTGGTGGTGATAATAACTCATCAGCTGGTCATTAATCAGGCATAAACTACAGCCACCACACCCAACTGTGATTTGCAGCTGGTATGAACCAGGGACCACGCATTTGCGAGTAGCAGAGATAAACAAAACAAAGACTTGCTATTGGTAGGGGCAGACAATGGCTGCTGGCTGGATTCGACTCGCGTCTCCTAGCTGCCAAATCCGGTTCGTTTCGGGTAAGCGATAAAAGCCTAAACCGATCACCTATCTGGTGATTCTACTCCCACCATACGTCTCAACGGCATGATGAATTTTAGCCCACTAACATTTCTTGCAGACGAAGTGGTCGTGCTAATTGAGACATTTGTCATACCGTGGGACCAACTTTTAATACCTGTGTCGTAGAAGTCTGCCGCCTGGGATTGGAACCACTGTGTGACAGCCATCTCCGCCTCTCTGTCATTCTCAAAACGCTGACGCTGACGCTGACCGGACAGGAATTTCTTGAGGTGTAGGAAAAGATGGAAATCACTGGGAGCGAGGTCCGGGCTGTAGGGTGGATGATTAAACACCTCCCAGCTGAACTCCTGCAGGAGACTTGCTGTCCGTCGAGTCGTGTGCGGCCTAGCGTTATCACTGACCGCACTTCACAGTCGGCGGGAGCTGGAATAAGAACCTCCATCTTCAACAGCTGCAACGATGCTACTGTGAGAACGCGGGAAGTGCCGTTAGTGCATGAGCCATGCTACGTCATTGCTCTATCACGTACGCACAGTCGCTTCGCGCAATATAAGGTTTGCTAGCTGTGGGACGAGGGGGAAACTTACTTTGAGGACGCGCCTCGTATCAGTGGCCTTACCAACTAACTACAGTTTCGGCCATGCATTGACTCGGAAATGGATGAATGGATTTTCGTCACGCTCCGTGGAGTTACTGTAATGTATGTAGGCCTACAAGCCTACTGTTATTATGCTTCTAGAACGTTAGATGTGATTAATTGATTGGTTATTTAATTAAGAATAATTTTATTCTATCAAACGGTTGAGATGATCAGAATGCAGCTGTTGATATCCGAATTTCTAATCTAAAATTTAGTCTAGCGTTGTACTCGTCTGTTATAATTCTGTGTTTCATGCTCTAAATCCTTAGTTTCAAGGTTGTAAAACCATTGATGGTTATTTGACAGATTATTGTTGCATTGGAAATTAAACTGAATTAATCACAACCAACTTGATAGCGTATAATATATAAAATGACCAATTTAGTATTCGTTATCGGGTATAATAATTATTTTTTTGTAATAAAACGTTATTTACAGAAAATAACACATTAATAGTTCGATTGGAAATTCGAATTTGTGTTGTTCTATAATTTGATTGGCAGATAATTACCGATTGTAATTAATCAACGATGGCGAAATCAATAAAATGGGATCTACCCAGAGGTTATTTTATCAACAGGGTCTCAAGCCACAGGGTATATGACCCTGGCTTATTATTATTATTAAGTGTTCTGTCTTACGACAGGTGCATTGCTCTGCCCAAAAAGAGCTCTCCAGTTGTCCCTATTCTCGGCTTCTCGCTTTAATTCCTGGAACGTCATCTTCTTTCCTTGTTTAAGGTCGTCGGTTAGCTGTATCAATCTTCTTCCCAGTCCTCTCTTTCCTTCAACCTGGCCTTCGGTGATATCACTCAGTAATCCATTCCTTCTCATAATATGTCCCAGCCAGTTAGCTTTCCTTCGTGTAATGTTTGCTCGTTGACTCTCCTCAATACTTCTTCGTTGGTCACTCGATCCGTCCACCTGATCTTCTCTATTCTTCTCCAACACCACATTTCGAAACTCTCCAGGTATTTCTGTTCCTTCTTCATCTCCAAGCCCAACTTGCTAGTGAGAAGTATCCTCTTCTTGACGAAAGCTGCCTTGGCCATGGCTATCCTTGCTTTTACTTCCTTGGTGCATAGGGCGTCCGTCGTGACTATGCTTCCCAAGTACTTGCTGGCTTAGGAGTTAGAAATTGTGTTATGGAACTGGCGAGAAACTGGTGTTTTCAGGGACTAACTCTCTGAATGATAAACAGTGCGCGTGAAATTTTCGCATGAAGAATTGTTACTAATTTATGCGAAACGCATGCAATGCTCTGATTAGTCGCTATGTATTGTTGGTACAAAAACGAACGTTTGAGTTATATAACAGGGAGATAATTTCTGAATTAATCAGCCATTATCGTCGTTCTGTAATTTATTAAACGGTCCTATCAGTAGCTCGGACTATATACCGAGGAATGATTAATAAATAAATATATGAAAGGAAGTGGTCGTGGCCTAATGTGAGATACTTTTCAGACATTTGTTTGGATACACATTAAAATGAAGACAAATCTCAGGATAGCTGTATCAGTGCCCAAATTCGAACCCCAGGCCTCACGAATTAGAATCAGAGATGTTAACAACTCAGTCAGTATCAACTGTTACGTCCATGTGTCATTTACAGAAAGTAACAATGCAATGGTCATCTTTAAACCTTTGAAGCCGAAGCTCGTATAAATAGCATTGAATAATTCAGTCCGTACCGCAAAGAAAACAACACTTTACGCTTACAAAGGTTAACTGGTTAATGTTGCCACACCTTTTACACTGCAGCAGAGATAATTATCGTCATTATTTTATATCTAATTGACGACATCTTAGTTTCATAAATTCGTTTTTAAGTAACAGTTCGACTTAAAATTCGTGTGTTAAGTTACTGTATCCTAAAAAGTTCATCGCCCTATCATTCAACTGTGTGTTGCATTCTATGAGATTGAAATACAGCTTCATCAAACA